AAAAAAGAATTTCTTTTCACTTTGTTCCGTTAACCAGAAGAAAAATGATTTTTCTTGTCATAGTCATAGAAAACAATTTGCTTTTAAACTACATATGAAAGGCCTGGCGTGGGTGGCTCAGGCCTGTAATTGCCCAGAGGCTGAGGTTGGTGGATCGCTTGAGCCCAGGGGTTTGAGACCAGCCTGGACAACATTAGTGAGTCCTCCATCCTACAAAAAAGTACACATAAGTTCAGGCTGGGTGTGGTTGAAGAGCCTGATCCGTACTGAGTGTCTATTGATAATCTGTGTCTCCTGGCTGGTGTGCAGTGGCTTATGCCTATAATGCCAACAATTTTGGAGGCTGAAGCAGACAGATTGTTTGAGCCCGAGTTCAAGACCAGCTTGGGCAACATGGCAAAACCCTGTCTCTACTAAAAATACCAAAAATTAGCCAGATGTGGTGGCACACACCTGCAGTCCCAGCTACTTAGGGGACTGAGATGGGAGGGTCGCTTTTTTTTTCTTTTTAGACAAGGTCTCACTCTGTCACTCAAGCTGGAGTACAGTGGCACAATTATAGCAAACTGCAACATCAAACTCCTGGGCTCAAGCGGTCCTCTTGCCTCAGCCTCCTGAGTAACTAGGAGTACAGGTGCGTGCCACCATGCCTGGCTAATTTTTGTATTTTTAGTAGAGACAGGGTCTCCCTGTGTTGCCCAGGTTGGTCTCAAATTGCTGGCCTCACGTGATCCTCCCACCTCAGCCTCCCAAAGTGTTGGCATTATATAGGCATGACCCACTGTGCCCAGCTGAAATTTTTAACATCTCTCTCATGCACAGTCTTGTCTAGAAAACTCTTGTTTTGTTTGCCTTAAATAGATAGTCAAGGTTTATGTAAATTTTTGATTGTTCATATACAATTTTGTCAGCAACAATCAAATATACAATCACAAAGCTTATACAGTTACCCTATATTCTGAAAAAACTATTCTGAAAAAATAGATTTGGAATTTTAATATCTAAATCTAGCTTACCGGCCAGGCATGGTGGCTCACGCCTGTAATCTCAGCACTTTGGGAGGCCAAGGCAGGCAGATCACCTGAGGTCAGGAGTTCAAGACCACCCTGGCCAACTTGGTGAAACCCCATCTCTACTAAAAATACAAAAATTAGCTGGGTGTGGTAGTGGGCACCTGTAATCCCAGCTATTCAGGAGGCAGAGGTAGGAGAATCACCTGAACCCAGGTGGCAGAGGTAGCAGTGAGCCGAGGCTGCGCCGCTGCACTCCAGCCTGTGCAACAGGGCAAGACTCTTAAAACCAATCAATCAATCAATCAATCAATCTAGCTTACTATCTTGTTCATTGTATCTTAAAAGTGTCCGTGCTTAAAATTTTGGTGTTCTTGGTAAAATATTTGCAATGAATTGGGCATCTTTGTAGACACAGTTTAGTTTTCATTTGAATATCCAGCAGGCAGAGATTAGAAATTGTTATTAAGTAAATCTATTTTAATGTGGTTCATTTAACTGACTTAATCCATATATTATCAGGCTTGAATGGGACTTTTCAGGGAATTTCGTTTGCCTTCTTTGTATTTAAGGCTTTCAGATTTATAGAAGTAAACTCAGTGAAAAGGATTGTGTTGTTTAAAATTATTTTTTCACTACTTAAAAAGATTAACTATTTTTTTCAATCAGTGGCTCACACCTATAATCCCAGCACTTTGGGAGGCCAAGGTGGGCGGGTCACAAGGTCAGGAGTTCGAGACCAGACTGGCCAATATGGTGAAACCCTGTCTCTACTAAAAATATGAAATTTAGTTGAGCGTGGTGGTGGCGCCTGTAATCCCAGCTACTCGGGAGCCTGAGGCAGGAGAATTGCTTGAACCCGAGAGGCAGAGGTTGCAGTGAGCCAAGATTGCACCACTGCACTCCAGCCTGGGTGACAGAACGAAACTGTCTCAAAAAATAATAAATAAATAATAATAATAATATATGCGCATGGTACAAAATTCAAAAGTACAACAGCTATATAGTAAAAAGGCAGTCTGCCTCCCTTCTTCCCCCCCCACCTGATATCCCTCTCTAGATAGAGCTGTCAACTTTTTATTTCTCTCAACTTTTTAAAAACCAGATGCAAATATTTAAGTTCTTCGAGCAGGGTCTTGTTACCTTCCTTTTAGAATAACAACAACAACAACAAAAATAGCATAGCATAGCATCATTCCAGAATCCTGTACAAGGTGTTTATTTTACATATGAAGCACAGAGAAAATAAAATTTGCTTAGTTTTCACTGAGCCTTGGGAAAGTCTTCTGTTGCATATTAGTGCAACAATGATAGTAAAGCTATCATTATATGTAACTACAATGACCGTATGTTGTATATTTTAAATAAATAGAAAACAAGTTTCATTGAAATTAAAGATAATAAAATAGTCTTAATATGTGATAATCATTTTTGTATATACTATTTATCTGATTTGCAAATTCTTGAATTAAAGCTTCTCATGAATTTATATAGGAATTGAAAAAAATCTAATTTCCCCTGACTGGAAATCAATCCTGCTTTTCTAATTTTTTTTACATGCAAGTTCAAAAAGTAGTATGTACTATCTGTGCTCCCAGAGGCTGACCTGAAATAAAAGGAAAAAAAAAGTAGTATGTACCAGACGTTTTAAGTATATTATGTCTAATTCTCATAACAACCTTGCAAGATTGGGTTTGTTGCCCTCTTTGGAGATGAGGAACCTGAGGCTCTGAGAATTGAAGTGACTTGCCACAGGTTCACAGCAAGAAGTGCAAAGCTGGGATGTACATCTAGTTCAAACCCACATCCTGGTCCATAATGTTGTTAGAAACACAGAATCTACTGGTCTGGAGAAAGGTGGGATGCTTGACAGTGTGGATCTCACTTCATCAAGGCATGTGCCGAAAGCCTGAGGACATGTTCCTGAACAAAATGGAGTCAGGGATGCTAGAGGAAAATAGGTCAGGTGAAGTGATAATAGGTAAAATAAGCATGTTCTCATGTTCTCTAAAGAGCTCATTAGCAGCCAACGTATTTCTGGGAGTAGGTGCAATAGGGCTCTGTCCTTGGCCCTGTTCTGATCAACGTCTTATTAATGCTTGAGACCAGAGCAGTGAGTATAATATGGTAGGACTTATAAATAACTATTGAACAAATTAATGAATTAATAAGGATATTTGTGTTGTGCTGATCATATCTTTAGTTTATTTTATTTTGACACAAAGCCTCGCTCTGTCACCCAGGCTGGAGTGCAGTGGCATGATCTCAGTTCACTGCAACCTCTGCCTCCCGAGTTCAAGCGATTCTTGTGCCTCAACCTCCTGAGTGGCTGGGACTATAGGCGCGTGCCACCATACCAGGCTAATTTTTGTATTTTTAGTAGAGATGGGGTTTCACCATGTTGGCCAGGCTGGTCTCGAACTCCCAACCTCAGGTGATCTGCCTGCTTTGGCCTCCCAAAATTCTGGGATTACAGGTATGTGCCATCGCACCTGGCCAGATTTTTCACTGTTAAGTTGAGTTTCTTGTATATTCTGCATATTAGTCTCTTGTCAGATGAATAGTTTATAAATATTTTATTCCATTCAACAGGTTATCTCTTCATTCTGTTGATTGTTTTCTGTGCTGTGCAGAAGCCTTTGAATTTAATATAGTCCCATTTGTCTATTTTTGTTTTAGTTGCCTCTGCTTTTGAGGTCTTAGCCACAAAATATTTGCCTAGACCAATGTCCTGGAGTGTTTCCTGTATGTTTTCTTCTAGTAGTTCTATAGTTTTGGGCCTTACATTTAAGTCTTTAATCCATCTTGAGTTGATTGTTGTATATGATGAGAGACAGAGGTCTACTTTCATTCTTTTGCCTATGGCTGTTCAGTTTTCCCAGCACCATTTATTGAAGAGGGTGTCCT